AAGTCTTCAATTGATGCAAGGTTTCAAATTGTAACCTTTTAAACTCTCAGTGAAAAACATGCTTCTCTATTTCTTCAAATATATAGCTGTCTTCCTTTTCCGAAACCATCATCTACTCTTTTCTTAGCTTTCCCACACCACCAAACCGTAGTTTCACAGTGCCAAATTTTTCTACCTGAAATCACACAGTCCAAATGGTCCAAAAATTCTTCAGGATTAACAAAATAAAGAATTTGTGTGCATGTACGCAGATAAACAGGTATGCATTTTCTGGTGGACAAGATTCAATAGAGAAACATAGAGAACTTGGAGCACATCGCGAGGTATTTGAATTGTCTTACATGTTAGTAATAGAAATTTGTCGTCCTCAATTGGTTTGAGAGTGTTATTTGTTGCTGGATCTATTACCTTCCCTTCTCATTATAGATTGTGCAAGCAAGAAAAAAAATTCTGCTTCTCTGTCTGCACTTACATGCCAATTTGATTCATGTCTTATAAGATTTGTCTGTCAGTAGTGTACTTGGTGTCTTTTAGTAACTTATTGAGGAAAAAGAAATTTTGTTGGCTTGTAATTTAGCTACTCATTTTATGATTTCATCATGGATGGCATTCCTGTAAAGTCAAATAAATACTGTTACTGCATCCAATTTCAATAGTATATTATGCTGTGAGACGTTTAATGGGGACTATCGTCCAAACTATGCCCAACAGTTCATTGCCTTTTGAAGGTGAAAAAATTGCTGAGCAGTAGTTCGTTGCTCAAGATGTAGGAACTGATTTTACGATATGCTAATGTGATTAATATCTGATGGAGCTGTTTCTATGATTATTTCCTAAGCTTTTGAATATAAATTTCAGTGATATGGTCTGTTTTCTACAGCTTACAGGTGTTGATACGTTGAATACAATTGGCTACATATATGCCAGAAAGTCAGCAAAAGAGCTACAGGTAAAGATGTCTTTGTTTGTACGTAGACTGTAATAAACTTCAGTGTTATATCGCGAGAATGGAAACTTTTACCAAATTGGAACTTCATCCAAACTACAGTGCCAAAATCATACTTTATAAATAAAATCCATACATGCCAAGAAGATCATACCTATTTTCATAGAGAAAACGATGTTGGTACCCATAAATTTGCTCACTATACCCGCCTAAATAATTGACGGTCAGCAAATTTTTTTTTTTACTGTTTGACAAAAGAAAAAATAATAGAAGAAAAGAACGGAAAAATATATGAAAAGCAGATCCATTTTTTTAAAAACCCGTATAATGAGCAAATTGAAGCAACTTTGGCCAAGGTTGCAATATAGGCATGTGCAATTTATAAGCACAAAGATGTTAAATTAAGTACACGCAGATTGCTAAACAATAAGAAGGTCTTGTCAGTGCTAATGCTATGATTACTAAACAATTTTGACAGTTGTAAAATCCAAAATATACCAATCCCAAGAAGTGGACATGAACATTTATTTATTTTTTTGTTTTGGAAATTGCAATACGTTTTGAAGGTTCAATCCTTCGGTATTTAGTTTGTTTAAAAAAACCAATTCACATGTAAAAACAGTAGAGAGGTCAAAGACAGAAATAAAATGGAATTCTGTTCTTTTTTGGTAACCTTGATGTTCCTGAATCTTCCCGTTCTCCTCTATTCTAGATGTGTTCATTTGTTCTAGATGCTTGCAAAGATAGGGTATATCATTTGTTGTTAGGCTATGTTCCTGCGTCATATGATGACCCTTTTTAAATCTTTTGGGTCTTGGAAAAATGTCAGTAATCTGTTTGCTTATCTTTGAGTTTTCTTGGGCTGTAACAGGATCGATGGAGATTTAAATTTTCCTGATAACTGTGCTCCATTTACGTATCTTGTTTAGGATATATTAGTGTACTTAATTTTTTATTTTGGTTCTATGACTTGTTTCAATTTTGTTTTCCACTTATGTTGTTTCAGATTTCATGAAGGCTTGCTTTCCAGTGAGCAAGGTGCCTACATTGCAGAGTCTATCGCTGCTAAAAACATGAAACAAGCGAAGAGCCGTTTTCGGATGTATGAGGATGCCACAGTACCAATCACTTTCTCTTTTATTCATTTGGACTAATTGTTTTAGAAACTTATTGTTCAATTTTTTTTGGCTGTTGCATTTGTTTTTGTTCCCAGGATCATGGTGGTTCTAATCATTCTGCAAAAGTAGAGCCATCCAATGGTTGTACAGGTGAAAGGGAAACTGGGAAGTCTGCAAAGAAACTTGGTGAGTTATTGTTGCATCTGTTTTTCCACTGGAAATTTCTTTTTGTTTTTTACTTTATGAATTTATTAGTCGCATTACAATCATTTTGATGTGCTAGATAAAGGAAGGACTGCAAAAGAGGAGGCATCCAAACGTGAGAAGGTCCGAGAAATACAGAAAAATCTATTATTAGTATCACACCTTTTATTTATTTTAATACATGCACAAATAGATATTATAACAGTACACCCGCGCGGCTATACTCTCTAAATACAATATATTAACAGTATAGCCGATCAGCTTTAAATACAATATTTTACCATTATAGCCGCCAGGCTCGACTGTATAAATAGAAATTATAAACGTACAGCCGAACGGCTATACTTTCTAATTAGATTCGAATATTTTAAACGTACAGCCGTGCGGCTATACTCTTTAAATATTATTCGAACGAACACGAAGCTTGCACTCGCAGTGGACGGAACTTTCTCTCGCAGTCACTGTTTCGTCCTCTGGGTTCGGCGCCGAAAAAAGACCCAACCTGCCTAGGCGCCCGCCTAGCTACTACCTAGCCGCCTAGCCACCGCCTAGCCGCCTAGCGCCCGCCTAGCTGCCTAGCTGCCCGCCTAGGCCGACTTTTCAAACACTGCGATTGACTGAAAGTCTGAAACCCGAAATTGAAAAAATTTAGCTGCAAATTTGAGCTTGAGATTGCAAGGGAAGCTGCCCCATTTGTGGATCCTGCTGTTTTGGTGGACGGAACTTTCTCTCGCAGTCACTGCTTCGTCCTCCGGGTTCGGCGCCGAAAAAAGACCCAACCTGCCTAGGCTCCCGCCTAGCTACTACCTAGCCGCCTTGGGACCGCCTAGGGACCGCCTAGCCGCCTAGCCGCCTAGCTGCCCACCTAGGCCGACTTTTCAAACACTGCGATTGACTGAAAGTCTGAAACCCGAAATTGAAAAAATTTAGCTGCAAATTTGACCTTGAGATTGGGAACCCGAAGCAGTGAAGCACAAGTCAGATCCATAGAAGAAGAGATCATGTGACTCTTAATTCATCCAATTCCATTCCTCTCTTTGTTTCGCGCCTTATATTCTTCTCTCTTTGCACTTACGACATGGTGCAGAAGAAAAAAAATACAAAATTTGCTGACTTGGTGTATGACTTCTGTGGAAGGAAATGATGAAGTTGTCCTATCATGGAGTTTCTTTGGTCTTGCCAATAACAAGGTTCTGTGAATGGCATGCGTTAGGCTAAACTGTTGATTCTGAAGTTTAAACATTTCTGTGAATGGCATGTGTTTAGCTTCTCTTGCTTTGCTTATTCTTTAATATGCAAATGGCATTTATGCTTGTACCTCACTCCCTGTGTTTTAGGTGGAGAATGTTAGTACAATTTTTGTTTGCCGCATTCCTCGTAATAGTGATTCACTATTTCAGAGTAGTCGAAATCCGTCTTTTTCCCTTCAGCTATCATTGTGTTGCTACTCATAACTGTATTAACTATATGAGTCATGACTTGCTGTTTAGTTAATTGGATATTCTTCCTTAACAGTTGCAGGTTTTTCTGTGTTGAAATGAGACTGAACATATAGTGGAATAAGTACAAATTTCATGTGAAAAATGCGGTCCAAGTGTTTGGAATTGCAGCAAGATTTCTTTTTGAAAGCTTAAATGTCAGGAAGCAAAGTGTTGCTAACGCATAAGTGAAAGCGGCAATCAAGAACAGATCCTGTACAGGGACATGAGTGCTGTAATTCACTTTTTGTTGCTCCCAATGACACTTCTTTAAGCAAACCACCAGACTTGCAAGTTCATTTGATTGATAAGCGTTCCTCAGAAAATTACAACAGAAATTCTGCGGTGAGATTTTAGAAAGTTGGAACCTGTTCACTTTTTGTAGTTTGTTTCATAGGGACAGATGTTGTATGTCAATCAACTTTATGTAGATAATTTAATAATCCATCCTTCCCTATTTTTCCTCTAATAATTTTGTTCTTGAAAAAAAATACTGAAAAGAAAAAGGTTTTAAGGGATTACCAGATACCACCAGAATGTGCCCTATTCAACCGACCCTTGAAAGCGTATCTAGTTGAGATGAGCATTTAGATTTGGTTCTTTAATTTAGGTTTCTATGAAGATCTTCTCTTAGTTGACTTAGACCTATAATTTATTTTTAAGGTCATTGCTATATTCTGTCTTACCTGCCTCTTTTTCTTGCAGGTATGCCATGTTGTTTTGTGTGCTGTGTTGGGGGTAACCTGAAGCACTGTGGAAAATGCCTTCAGTTGTATCATCTCCAATGCCTAGATAAACCCCATAAGGAAAAGAAACACATTGAAGTGTCCGGCACAAGACAAATACCAATTAAAACCGTTCCGACAAGTCTTGATGAGGTTCCTTCCCAAAGGGATGCATATGGGAATAAGTCTAGTGGCAAGAAAGTAGGCTCATCTTCAAATGCTAATGCTGGAGCATTGGTTGATGATAATAATGTTGGAGGGAGGTTAGTTTCTCAATTGGTGATGAATTCCGCTGTAATTATTGCTGATTTTGTAAGACAAAAATCATCAGCAGCAGCAGCAGCATTTGAAAGAAAAAGCAGCTCTGGATGTGATGGTAGCTCGCCAAGATTGAATACATCAAACTTAGAAGACACTGATTCATTCTCTAGAAATAAGTTAGATAAATTCAGTGGTGATTCAGCTTGCGTGAAACAAGTTGACCACCCAATTGATTACTTTCTGCCGAAGGAATAAAAGAAAAAAGGATATGGATGAGTCTAATATACAAAGGAAATCACTGCCCGTGGAAAATAGCTGCTCATTGACAACCAAATTGAATAATTCTGTTTGTATTAATACCAGTTCTTATGAAGAAACTTCCCCTGAAAACTGCTCAGTAGATCATGAAGCAGATTTGAAGCACTCCAGAGAGGTATGTAATATGAAGCCTATCTTTGTCAATTTTGGAAATAATGTATCTGCCTATGAGCACAAACACAATCATGTGAAATGAGAAATAGAAAATAAGATGCGACATGGAAAATACATTCTCATTTACATGTATTCTACAATAATACATATGTATAAAAACAAGGTCAGAATAAAAGGTACATAATTGTTAGTGCTTAGTTGCCCTCGAGTGGCTGACTGACTCCACTATTATGTACATTCTTAACCTGATACTTCATTTCTGTATATGTAATTTGTAATCACCGATCTAATTTCTTTGCTACGGATCTTTGATTTTACATATGCTCGTGCTGGATCTGCTGCCGCTGAACTAAACTGTTGGTTCACATTAACTTCAGAACTTATTGGTTTCTTATATTTTAATTGCTTACTTCATTCATCGGGACAGTTTGATGCATGAAGAACAACTTCATGATGAGGAAAAGACAGGCAGTGACGCCTTACAACAGGCTGGAGAAGTACTTGGCCAGAGTGCTCAAAGTGCAATGGATGTTGAAGTTCTTTGCATGGCTCATTTAAGAAAAAGTAGTGATACTAGAGATTCCTCTTTTGAAGTTCTTTGCACGGATCAATTCACATTGTGTTTAACTTATTCATTTTGGACTAATTGTTTTAGAAACTTATTCTTCAATTTTTTTTGGCTGTTGCATTTGTTTTTGTTCCTAGGACTATGGTGGTTCTAATCATTCTGCAAAAGTATGGCCAGCAAATGGTTGTACAGGTGAAAGGGGAACTGGGAGGTCTGCAAAGAAACCTGGTGAAAATTTCTTTTTGTTTTTCACTTTTATGAATTTATTAGTCGCATTACAATCATTTTGATGTGCTAGATAAAGGAAGGACTGCAAAAGAGGAGGCATCCAAACGTGGGAAGGTCCGAGAAATACAGAAAAAGCTATCTTCCATGCTTTAAGCACTTGGGGAAACGGCCATTCTAATATTTGAAGAGTATAGCCACGGCTGTATTATTTAATTATTATATTTAAATGGTACCGCCGCTCGGCTATTCTCATTAAATATTATATTCAAATAGTACAGCCGCTCGGCTATATACGTTAAATAGACTATCATAACAGTGTAGCCGCTCGGCTGTACTCTATAAATACAATATTTGAAGATATAGCCGAACGGCTATAGAAAAGCTGTACAGCCGCTCGGCTATACCCGTTAAATAGAATATTGTAACAGTATAGACGATCGGCTATACGCTATAAATAGAAAATTTTCACAATATATTCGTTTTGTTTATCTGCTTTTGTCTGTTGGCCATATATCCTTTACTCCTTTCTCGTCTCTTTATAAATTTAATTTTATTGTCTCAGAAAAACAAACGTGATAGTTTTTTGTATCATAATAGGTTTACCATGAGTAGCCGAATTGATATCTTTTACTGTTAGATTTATAAGGGAAAACAAAGTGATTTTATTAGATTGGAGGAGAATAGTACATAGCATTGTGGTGGCTAATTGGCCTTCTACACTTAGCATATTGGCTTATTGGCCACAACACTTGGTTTAGATTAGTTTGGGCTATTTGGCCCTTACACTTTGATTAATGAGCTTATTGGCTCTCAACATAGTTAGCATTAGGTAGCCCTTGGCTCCCTAATGGTTTGGGAGTTCTTTGTTAGACTCCACTTTGAATGAGTATAAGCATGCCTATTTATAGGCTTTGATTGCCGCCACTACCCAAGTCTCACCGACTTGGACAATCTCTCCTTGCCACATATGTTTGGCTTTGTCTAGAATAATCTTCAATCTTCATTGCCGACATCACCAAGTGGACTTGGTCTCTTACTCCAGCCACAACTATATGGTTTTATCTAGAATATTCCACCATATTCATTTTGCTTTGCTGCCATGCAACTTCTTTATTGTGAGCTCTTGAATTCTCTAGATCCTTCTTGAAATCTTAAGCACAAATGTGCATTATTTTCAACATTTACAAATCTGAGAGGCAATTTGCTCCAATTCTATATTATCGTTGGTGTGGTCATCAATAACTGATTTTATACAAATCTCACTGATTATGTTTTGCAGCGATGGCAGCGGAACCTTGATCCCGGGTACAATGTAACAATGTGATGCAAACGTTACTAAATAAATACATAAAACAATCTATACAAAGAAACTGTAAGGGAGTAATCCAGAGGACTCCTATGATTTGAAATAACCTTACTGCCATTAAATAGCAGTACGGCGATCCTAACAATATCAAAACTACATTTGGATTGGATTGGATTGGATGTGCTAACTTCTCTCCATCCTTCCTGTGAACCAACCCGCCTTTTTTGGTCTCATAACTTAAAATGAAATATTCACAATAGAGACACTCTTCTCTATGATTATGGGGTTGCCCGTCTGGGGTGACGGCAAAGGAATCACAACTTTTACCTAAAAATTATTTCACCGATGTAATCATATGTATCTTTTGATTGTAAATAGCAATGGCTAATGTGAAATGTTTGATTATTGTAACGTCATGTCCAGCAGATCAGATGCCAAGTCAGGTCCCTTCCTTCAGGAAGAGATCATGTCTTTGAAAGGTTTGGAACTCCTCACTCAGCATGCAGAGCATGTTGAGTCTGCACCAGAAACGATACCAGAGGCATCACCTCCTGTCTTTCAAGAGAAGAAGCCTGCAGAGAAAAAACCTGTTAAGCCAAAGTGGGGGTCATCTCGAGCGGGTATGAAATCGAGTCGTGTATGGAGTCATGTCGGAAGTTGTCAACAAATAGAAAATAAATGTTTTCAACTAGGAATATCATTTAAAGAAATATTTTTTTTATCTACTACTGGGGGTTAAAAAAGCATTAAAATTTAACCTGGAAAATACAAATCTATAAACTATAAATTTAAAAAATTAAAAAATTAAAAAAGGCCCAGTCCAGCCTAGGCCGCCTAATAAAATTTGCACAATATGCAATTAGGAGATGTTTAGATTACCTCTGCAGAAAATTCTGAGGCTAATTAACACTCCGTATGAAGTGATTACAACATCACTTTGAGCTAAAAGTTTTGCATCCTTCTGCCCACTTTGTCCATAATGAACATATACCTATAAAGATCCAGGTTGCGCATGAGTTTCAATCTCTGCCTGACAACAAACTCAAATGTTTATATTAACTCCCAAATATAGATGATCACACCAATGATAATATAAATTGGAGCAAATTGCCTCTCAGATTTGTATAAGATATCAGTAATTGTCTATTTCTGCTACTCATGGTAAACCTATTATATAATACAAAAAACTATCATATTTGTTTTTCTGAGACAATTAAATTAAATTTATAAAGAGAAGAGAAAGGAGTAAAGGATATATGGCCAACAGAAAAAAGCAGAAAAACAAATAAAGAAAAGACAACTTAATAATCTACGTGTGCTTTAATTTAATGTCTTTGTGCTTATAAATTTCACATGCCTATATTGCGAAGATTACAGAATTTCATAAGAGAATTTCCATGCCTTGGCTGCAATAGATAAAGGAAAAAGAAATTACCTCAAGAACCAAAGTGGTTACCATGACAGTACAGACATTGCCATCGACATTGACTCTATGACGCCTAACTGTCTCCAGTACTGCTGCAGGATGGACCAGATCACCTTCTGGAGTACCCCAGAAAGCAAATGCCTCCTCCACTTGCTGTAAAAAGAAGAAGATTAGACTAAAATCAAATACATAATGTAGATTATTAAGGAGGGAAACTTGTAACAGAAGCTTCCTGAGTTCATAATATCATTGAGGAACTGCATTTTGTCTACAACCATAACACACACAGTGATGAATAAACGAAAAAAGGAGTGAATACTACACACACACACACACACACACACATATATATATATATCACATATTTCAATTGTGCTTGACAAAATTCAGGCTTTGAGACAAGAAAGTATTACCAGAGGAAGTTGGATTGAAAAGCATTCTAATATGAAATTCTTTCTTTGCATAATCTGAGCATAAAGGAGGAATTGAAAGGGCAAATATCAAACCTGCAACTTATTTAATAAGGAACACCCAAACAAGATGAATGCAACGGATCTCCAGAACTGTTAAGGAAAAACTAATAAGGCAAAACCTTTGAAGGTGAATTACTTGCCCATTTTTAGAGAGGAGATGGTGGAAGACAGAACAATAGAGAGACAAAAAAAAATCAACCATGTAGGGATAAGATATTAGAAAGATAGTAGCTTTTTATATATATATATTTTTTGGATTTGTTATGTATTCAGACCACATTCAGGTATATCAACTGATATAATTCACAAACTTCAAGACACAACAAGATACTTAAAAGACCTAAGCACAATTCAATCAAAATAGTCCAAAAGCATAAATGCATTGCAAGTAACATCAAAGGTATATATATGTTACCAGGTCCAGGAGCATCTTCAAAAGTGCGTGCGTCACAATGTGAGCAAGCGCAGATTGAATCCGATCATCCCCTTCAAGATCATCGACACATTCCTCTTGTTCATAAGTTTCCACCAAAACAGCAGGATCCACAAATGGGGCAGCTTCCCTTGCAATCTCAAGCTCAAATTTGCAGCTAAATTTTTCAATTTCGGGTTTCAGACTTTCAGTCAATCGCAGTGTTTGAAAAGTCGGCCCAGGCGGGCAGCTAGGCGGCTAGGCGGGCGCTATGAGGTGCGTGTCAGACACCTTTCAATCTTAGAATTCATAAATTCACAGATTAAGAGCAAGAAACTAACGTTGAGATCCCTGATTTTCCAAAAGCATCGTATGCTTGGTGTTGGCCTGGGTCACTTAAGACTTGGTAAGCTTCTCCCAAAACCTGAATCCAGGGGTACTGCCCCAAGAGTTGTGCATACCGTCATTACAATAGACAGAGGAACATCCCCTTGAGCAATTAAGGTCACCTGAAAGGCTATTTCATACAAAGCATTGAATGGAGTTGAATAAATGGGCTAGGCGGGCGCTAGGCGGGGGCCAGGCGGGCTAGGCGGGGGCTAGGCGGGCTAGGCGGGTCTAGGCGGGCTAGGCGGGCGCTAGGCGAGCCCTAGGCGGTCTAGGCGGGCTAGGAGGAGCTAGGCGGTCCAGGCGGGCTAGGAGGAGCTAGGCGGTCTAGGCAGGCGCTGAAGAGAGAGAGAGAGAGAGAGAGAGAGAGACGAGGATGACGACGGAGTTATGTTTAGGGTTTAGAAAAGGGCCGCCCGGCTATACGATTTTTAATAATAAAAAACCGTAGTATAGCCGTTCGGCTATACAATTTATTAAAATTTTGAGCCTTATATTGCTAACTCCTAAAATTTTGATTGCCGACTTGTGCGTTGTGACCCACCTCAAAATTTTAGGAGTTAGCAATATTAAGGCTCAAAATTTTAATCAATCGTATAGCCGAACGGCTATACTACGGTTTTTTATTATAAAAAAATAATATAGCCGTGCGGCCCATTTCTAAACCCTAAACATAACTCCGTCGTCATCCTCGCTCTCTCTCTCTCTCTCTCAGCGCCAGCCTAGACCACCTAGCTCCACCTAGCCCGCCTGGACCGCCTAGACCCCGCCTAGACCCCGCCTAGCCCGCCTAGCCCCCGCCTAGCCCATTTATTCAACTCCATTCAATGCTTTGTATGAAATAGCCTTTCAGGTGACCTTAATTGCTCAAGGGGATGTTCCTCTGTCTATTGTAATGACGGTATGCACAACTCTTGGGGCAGTACCCCTGGATTCAGGTTTTGGGAGAAGCTTACCAAGTCTTAAGTGACCCAGGCCAACACCAAGCATACGATGCTTTTGGAAAATCAGGGATCTCAACGTTAGTTTCTTGCTCTTAATCTGTGAATTTATGAATTCTAAGATTGAAAGGTGTCTGACACGCACCTCATAGGTTGCCTGCATTTGTCACAGTGTATGTGTGTGTTAGCTTAACACATAGTTGCGTGTTTCTGACATTTTTTGAATGGTTCCCTTTCTTTCAGCGACTCAATTATTGATCCTGCAGCAATCTTCGCTATGCTTTTTGGTAGTGAGCTTTTTGAGGAATATATTGGCCAGCTAGCCATGGCATCAATGGCTTCACTAGATATTTTCTCAGAAGGGGAGCGGTTCGATCCCAAAAAGCTGCAAGAGAAAATGCGGGTACTGTTTTGTTTATTTATCCTCACTAACCCAGTGATCCAAATTCTGCCATTTATGTAACTGATTCTGCAAAGGAAATTAAGAACAAGGTTTGGGTTTGCTGTTGCTTTGGGTTTATTTGCACGACCTTTCTATTTACTGAGACTCTTGCACAATCATTATCGATTCTCTGATTCTAGGGCCAAAGTCTTCAATTGATGCAAGGTTTCAAATTGTAACCTTTTAAACTCTCAGTGAAAAACATGCTTCTCTATTTCTTCAAATATATAGCTGTCTTCCTTTTCCGAAACCATCATCTACTCTTTTCTTAGCTTTCCCACACCACCAAACCGTAGTTTCACAGTGCCAAATTTTTCTACCTGAAATCACACAGTCCAAATGGTCCAAAAATTCTTCAGGATTAACAAAATAAAGAATTTGTGTGCATGTACGCAGATAAACAGGTATGCATTTTCTGGTGGACAAGATTCAATAGAGAAACATAGAGAACTTGGAGCACATCGCGAGGTATTTGAATTGTCTTACATGTTAGTAATAGAAATTTGTCGTCCTCAATTGGTTTGAGAGTGTTATTTGTTGCTGGATCTATTACCTTCCCTTCTCATTATAGATTGTGCAAGCAAGAAAAAAAATTCTGCTTCTCTGTCTGCACTTACATGCCAATTTGATTCATGTCTTATAAGATTTGTCTGTCAGTAGTGTACTTGGTGTCTTTTAGTAACTTATTGAGGAAAAAGAAATTTTGTTGGCTTGTAATTTAGCTACTCATTTTATGATTTCATCATGGATGGCATTCCTGTAAAGTCAAATAAATACTGTTACTGCATCCAATTTCAATAGTATATTATGCTGTGAGACGTTTAATGGGGACTATCGTCCAAACTATGCCCAACAGTTCATTGCCTTTTGAAGGTGAAAAAATTGCTGAGCAGTAGTTCGTTGCTCAAGATGTAGGAACTGATTTTACGATATGCTAATGTGATTAATATCTGATGGAGCTGTTTCTATGATTATTTCCTAAGCTTTTGAATATAAATTTCAGTGATATGGTCTGTTTTCTACAGCTTACAGGTGTTGATACGTTGAATACAATTGGCTACATATATGCCAGAAAGTCAGCAAAAGAGCTACAGGTAAAGATGTCTTTGTTTGTACGTAGACTGTAATAAACTTCAGTGTTATATCGCGAGAATGGAAACTTTTACCAAATTGGAACTTCATCCAAACTACAGTGCCAAAATCATACTTTATAAATAAAATCCATACATGCCAAGAAGATCATACCTATTTTCATAGAGAAAACGATGTTGGTACCCATAAATTTGCTCACTATACCCGCCTAAATAATTGACGGTCAGCAAATTTTTTTTTTTACTGTTTGACAAAAGAAAAAATAATAGAAGAAAAGAACGGAAAAATATATGAAAAGCAGATCCATTTTTTTAAAAACCCGTATAATGAGCAAATTGAAGCAACTTTGGCCAAGGTTGCAATATAGGCATGTGCAATTTATAAGCACGAAGATGTTAAATTAAGTACACGCAGATTGCAAAACAATAAGAAGGTCTTGTCAGTGCTAATGCTATGATTACTAAACAATTTTGACAGTTGTAAAATCCAAAATATACCAATCCCAAGAAGTGGACATGAACATTTATTTATTTTTTTGTTTTGGAAATTGCAATACGTTTTGAAGGTTCAATCCTTCGGTATTTAGTTTGTTTAAAAAAACCAATTCACATGTAAAAACAGTAGAGAGGTCAAAGACAGAAATAAAATGGAATTCTGTTCTTTTTTGGTAACCTTGATGTTCCTGAATCTTCCCGTTCTCCTCTATTCTAGATGTGTTCATTTGTTCTAGATGCTTGCAAAGATAGGGTATATCATTTGTTGTTAGGCTATGTTCCTGCGTCATATGATGACCCTTTTTAAATCTTTTGGGTCTTGGAAAATGTCAGTAATCTGTTTGCTTATCTTTGAGTTTTCTTGGGCTGTAACAGGATCGATGGAGATTTAAATTTTCCTGATAACTGTGCTCCATTTACGTATCTTGTTTAGGATATATTAGTGTACTTAATTTTTTATTTTGGTTCTATGACTTGTTTCAATTTTGTTTTCCACTTATGTTGTTTCAGATTTCATGAAGGCTTGCTTTCCAGTGAGCAAGGTGCCTACATTGCAGAGTCTATCGCTGCTAAAAACATGAAACAAGCGAAGAGCCGTTTTCGGATGTATGAGGATGCCACAGTACCAATCACTTTCTCTTTTATTCATTTGGACTAATTGTTTTAGAAACTTATTGTTCAATTTTTTTTGGCTGTTGCATTTGTTTTTGTTCCCAGGATCATGGTGGTTCTAATCATTCTGCAAAAGTAGAGCCATCCAATGGTTGTACAGGTGAAAGGGAAACTGGGAAGTCTGCAAAGAAACTTGGTGAGTTATTGTTGCATCTGTTTTTCCACTGGAAATTTCTTTTTGTTTTTTTACTTTATGAATTTATTAGTCGCATTACAATCATTTTGATGTGCTAGATAAAGGAAGGACTGCAAAAGAGGAGGCATCCAAACGTGAGAAAGGTCCGAGAAATACAGAAAAATCTATTATTAGTATCACACCTTTTATTTATTTTAATACATGCACAAATAGATATTATAACAGTACACCCGCGCGGCTATACTCTCTAAATACAATATATTAACAGTATAGCCGATCAGCTTTAAATACAATATTTTACCATTATAGCCGCCAGGCTCGACTGTATAAATAGAAATTATAAACGTACAGCCGAACGGCTATACTTTCTAATTAGATTCGAATATTTTAAACGTACAGCCGTGCGGCTATACTCTTTAAATATTATTCGAACGAACACGAAGCTTGCACTCGCAGTGGACGGAACTTTCTCTCGCAGTCACTGTTTCGTCCTCTGGGTTCGGCGCCGAAAAAAGACCCAACCTGCCTAGGCGCCCGCCTAGCTACTACCTAGCCGCCTAGCCACCGCCTAGCCGCCTAGCGCCCGCCTAGCTGCCTAGCTGCCCGCCTAGGCCGACTTTTCAAACACTGCGATTGACTGAAAGTCTGAAACCCGAAATTGAAAAAATTTAGCTGCAAATTTGAGCTTGAGATTGCAAGGGAAGCTGCCCCATTTGTGGATCCTGCTGTTTTGGTGGACGGAACTTTCTCTCGCAGTCACTGCTTCGTCCTCCGGGTTCGGCGCCGAAAAAAGACCCAACCTGCCTAGGCGCCTGCCTAGCTACTACCTAGCCGCCTTTGGACCGCCTAGGGACCGCCTAGCCGCCTAGCCGCCTAGCTGCCCACCTAGGCCGACTTTTCAAACACTGCGATTGACTGAAAGTCTGAAACCCGAAATTGAAAAAATTTAGCTGCAAATTTGACCTTGAGATTGGGAACCCGAAGCAGTGAAGCACAAGTCAGATCCATAGAAGAAGAGATCATGTGACTCTTAATTCATCCAATTCCATTCCTCTCTTTGTTTCGCGCCTTATATTCTTCTCTCTTTGCACTTACGACATGGTGCAGAAGAAAAAAAATACAAAATTTGCTGACTTGGTGTATGACTTCTGTGGAAGGAAATGATGAAGTTGTCCTATCATGGAGTTTCTTTGGTCTTGCCAATAACAAGGTTCTGTGAATGGCATGCGTTAGGCTAAACTGTTGATTCTGAAGTTTAAACATTTCTGTGAATGGCATGTGTTTAGCTTCTCTTGCTTTGCTTATTCTTTAATATGCAAATGGCATTTATGCTTGTACCTCACTCCCTGTGTTTTAGGTGGAGAATGTTAGTACAATTTTTGTTTGCCGCATTCCTCGTAATAGTGATTCACTATTTCAGAGTAGTCGAAATCCGTCTTTTTCCCTTCAGCTATCATTGTGTTGCTACTCATAACTGTATTAACTATATGAGTCATGACTTGCTGTTTAGTTAATTGGATATTCTTCCTTAACAGTTGCAGGTTTTTCTGTGTTGAAATGAGACTGAACATATAGTGGAATAAGTACAAATTTCATGTGAAAAATGCGGTCCAAGTGTTTGGAATTGCAGCAAGATTTCTTTTTGAAAGCTTAAATGTCAGGAAGCAAAGTGTTGCTAACGCATAAGTGAAAGCGGCAATCAAGAACAGATCCTGTACAGGGACATGAGTGCTGTAATTCACTTTTTGTTGCTCCCAATGACACTTCTTTAAGCAAACCACCAGACTTGCAAGTTCATTTGATTGATAAGCGTTCCTCAGAAAATTACAACAGAAATTCTGCGGTGAGATTTTAGAAAGTTGGAACCTGTTCACTTTTTGTAGTTTGTTTCATAGGGACAGATGTTGTATGTCAATCAACTTTATGTAGATAATTTAATAATCCATCCTTCCCTATTTTTCCTCTAATAATTTTGTTCTTGAAAAAAAATACTGAAAAGAAAAAGGTTTTAAGGGATTACCAGATACCACCAGAATGTGCCCTATTCAACCGACCCTTGAAAGCGTATCTAGTTGAGATGAGCATTTAGATTTGGTTCTTTAATTTAGGTTTCTATGAAGATCTTCTCTTAGTTGACTTAGACCTATAATTTATTTTTAAGGTCATTGCTATATTCTGTCTTACCTGCCTCTTTTTCTTGCAGGTATGCCATGTTGTTTTGTGTGCTGTGTTGGGGGTAACCTGAAGCACTGTGGAAAATGCCTTCAGTTGTATCATCTCCAATGCCTAGATAAACCCCATAAGGAAAAGAAACACATTGAAGTGTCCGGCACAAGACAAATACCAATTAAAACCGTTCCGACAAGTCTTTTTTTTTTTTTTTTTTTTTTTTTTTTTTTTTTTTTTTTTTTTTTTTTTTTTTTTTTTTTTTTTTTTTTTTTTTTTTTTTTTTTTTTTTTTTTTTTTTTTTTTTTTTTTTTTTTTTTTTTTTTTTTTTTTTTTTTTTTTTTTTTTTTTTTTTTTTTTTTTTTTTTTTTTTTTTTTTTTTTTTTTTTTTTTTTTTTTTTTTTTTTTTTTTTTTTTTTTTTTTTTTTTTTTTTTTTTTTTTTTTTTTTTTTTTTTTTTTTTTTTTTTTTTTTTTTTTTTTTTTTTTTTTTTTTTTTTTTTTTTTTTTTTTTTTTTTTTTTTTTTTTTTTTTTTTTTTTTTTTTTTTTTTTTTTTTTTTTTTTTTTTTTTTTTTTTTTTTTTTTTTTTTTTTTTCTTTTCCACACCCGCTCTAAAGCTTTGCCTTCAAGCACACCGATCGTTCAACGATGAGTGGATGAACATTTGTGTAGGACTAGGATTTGTGTAGGACTAGGACTCCACACTCCTTCTGTCATCATCAATATGCTACAAATAAGTGGCTCCAGACTTGCATGATGTGTTTGATAAGTTGCGTCCAGTTGCCATTTACGAATTTTCATAGAGAAATTTCCATCCTTCAGGCTCTGTAGATTAAAGGAAAAAGAATTACCACCTCAGAACCAAGTGGGTTACCCAGAAGTACGGACTGTGTGCCCATCGGACATTAACTCTATGACGCGCTAACTTTCCCAGTAATTGCGTGCATACTGTGAAGATGTTTTTGGCTATTTTCTTTTGGCTTCCCTGACGCAACTTGGTAAAGGCTGTGTATGTATTTATCAAGCTAGTTTAGATTAAGGAAACCCTTTTTGGGGCTCTTCTCAACTTTGCTTATGGAGGTTCAAGCAAGTTGACAAAGTGTATAGTGCATTGCATCTCATTTCATAAAACAGTCTTCATAAAAATGAGACTAGTCCCTCCGTTCTGAGCGATGATCGTCTGCCTTGCTCTGTAGGATTTCCCAGTTAGATAACAAACTAGTTTGTCCTATCAGTCTTTCACCTCTCTCTGCTGGCAGCTATGTTTTCGACCTCTAACGATTCTTTTTGGCTGTAAAGGCTCGTTTTGGTCATTTGGCGGCTGTCTCTTTGGGTGGAAGTTTGGAAAGTTTGGCTTGCCATCTTTCGCTTCTTCTTCTCGAGGAGAAACCATCTATTTCATCTATGAGTTTTCCAATTGATTATCTTTTTGAAAAAACTGCATTTTGAAACCCAATCTGCATCTAGCTACTTAAATCATCTCTCCATTGATCTAGGTCAAATCAGAGATTTCTTCAAGAGTAGGTTTCTTGAAGAAATTGGTCTTTCCTCATTGGATCCAATTTTGGTTTCGGTTTGTGTTGGCTTGCAAGCTAGTGCCATGGGATGAACGAGCTGGGAAGGAGCTGCCATTGCCATGAAGAAATGAGCTTCAAGCTTTGCTAAGTTGGAGAAGAAGATTGCACAAAGGAGGTTTAGTCTCATCTTCCTAAATAGACCTAGGTTCTTGAGCTTGCTAGTGTTCTTTGTAAGAATCTTTTTCTACTTAGTGGATGCCTGGTCGGTTGATGACCCCAGTTTTTCCCAATGTGGTGGGTTTCTGTGTGAACAAATTCTGGTTTGCAATCTGTAAATTTTCGGTTTGTGTTCTTGATAGTTGACTAGTATCTGGGTCTGCTGTTGACTAGTCATCTTTATCTGTCTGTTTGATGTGTTTACAAGGATAAGACTTGATTTCAACACACTTGCACCATAGTTGTGCTGCACACAGGGGATGCCTAGATTGACGGTCCTTGCTTGAGTGCCTAGGTTGTTCCACTAGTCCATTCTCTAGGGTTGCAGGTACATTGTGGCAGGCTCTGGTTTATGTGTGTGGTTGTTCTGACTAGGTCAGTTTGATTAGTCATATGTTAGTTGGTCCAGGTGTTTCATGTGTGAACTGATTGCATGTGTTTTGTGTCTTGTTTGTGTGATTAAATTTACCCCTCGTCACCTAGTACCAATTTCACATTGTATCAGAGCACCAACTCTTAATATAAATAGAGAGATCCTTTGGTGCTAATTGGTATTAGGTGTTTGCAAACATAAAAATGGACCAAATTGCTCTTGCAATTCATGATGAGCTTGCCTGTTTGTTCAGAAATATAGAAGGGTTGTCAAAGGTAAAACCAATCATAGAATGTCAAATCTTCCTCGCTCGTCACATGTGTGTTCAAGACAATGTTTTTTAAGGAGATGAATTTTTGGGACTTTATGGCGTAGGGAGGACAAAAAGTTGTGAAGGGTATTGGTAGTGCTATCTATGTGGTGGTGGGGTTGGTCACACTGAGGGGGGGAATGTGCAAATAACCACAGATAGTTATAATGGGAGAGAGAGAAGAGTCAATTAGTGCAAATGGAGTGGATAGTGATAGTGTTGATTCAATAACTAATAATCAACTTAGTCTTTTGAAGAGGACAAATAATTTTGCCTTGTGGGTTTGTGCATAACTCTAGCAGTGCTAGAGAGTTCTGTCGTTTTAAGTGAAGAAAATTGGATTCAAAAAAGGAATCTAGTGTCTGGAGATGATAGGCAGGATGCAGCGAGCGCTCATACAGGAAACAGGAGGACCGTCATACTTGGGTATGATGTGAACAAGTATGATGTCGATTTACTGAACTTCCAGCTTAATGCAAGCATTTTGCTACTTTGTGACAAGGAGGTTTGAGAACCTGGACATTTCTTAATGCACGTCTTAAAGACAGCAATAATGATTGAGTGAAAATATTGAGACCGTTGCAATAGTTAAAAGGATCATTGATTGTCATTAAAAATGACATGTTCAAACATTACAATTGAATGTGCGCCAAGGAAAACAACTTGGTTTTCCATTGCGCTCCCAACAAGACGTTGTTGCTCAGATAAATGAGAGCAAATGACATGGTGATCCAGCTTCCCCCCTTAGAGGCAAAAAGGTGATACAGTTGAATATTGGTAAGTGTCATGGAGACAAATTTGTTGGTGTATGGTTGTTCTAGTTCATATGCCCGCCTCATTTGACCACATTTGTTCAAGGAGGTCCAGACAAAGTTTGCTGTTTTGAGGCCAATAGGACTCAAAGTTCATTCCACTTGTACCAGTGTGGGTGTGACGGTTCATATTCGACCTGTGTATGCTTACGGACTGGTGTTAGAGCTCAACTGAGCAAAGGCTTTTAAGACCCATAGTTTCTTCTTAAAACAGGTGACTGCAGAATCTGTATTGGTACAAGAGATACATTTTCACTTGCAAAATTTGGTTTTCCACAACAAAAAGGTTTCATCCTCATGCTATCATTGGGCACATTAGGACACATTAGACCCAAGTGTTTTGAGCTTAGGAATTTGAGCAAAGCCCTTTTGTTATTCAAGAAAGTAAAAAATGATGACTCACTTCAAACCCAAGTGAATGATCATTCTTATAAAGTTGTCAAAATTTCCTACACGTGTTCTCTTTGCCTCATGAAGTCGCAAAAGTAAAGCAAGTTTGGATCAAGAAGGAAGACATGTTCTTCCTCATGTTGGTTGACTAGTTTCTTCATCTTATGTATCTAGACCATTCTCTTGTTTGTGTGTGCTTCATGGAGTCTAACAGTCAGGCATCATCTGCACCTTGTTCTTTTGTTTGATTAGGATTCATTTGTTTTTTTTTTTTTTTTTTAATATGGTCATTGCATGCATGTCTTTTTCAATCATCTCTCTCACAGTGCTTTGAATCTTGGGTTATCAACAAAATTTCATGTTCTTTTGAACTTGTTTCACATTATCTTGTTGATCTTGTCCACACCCTCTTTCCTGTTGGCAAGGATACATCCTAGCCATTGTAGATGACTTCTTTGGGTTTATTTGGGTCTTATTCTTGCTTGAAAAATCAGAAACCTTTCAAAGGTTTAAATCTGTCTGCCACTTTTTACAAAAAGTTAAGATGACTAGTCATCTGCCTCTGTTAGAATTAGAACAGATCATGGTTTGAGTTTGAGAGTTCTCAGTTTCTGAAATTTTGTGAGGAGATGGGAATTAAGCATGAGTTCTCTGCACCTATTACACCTCAGCAAAATGGTGTGATGGAAAAAAAAATATAGAGTTCTTGTTGAGATGGTTAGGATGATGCTCAATAGCAAAAATTTTGCTAAATATTTTTGAGGTAAAGCTGTAAATACAGCTTGTTGCATCTCAAACAGGGAGTTTTTGAGGTATGGTCCCAAACAAACTCCCTATGTGCTTTGGAAAGGTAAGAAACCCCATGTTTCTTATTTTAGAGTCTTTGGTAGCACATGTTGTATCTTAAGAAATTGGGAACACCTTGCTAAGTTTGACTTTAAAAGTGACAACATAGTTTTTCTTGGGTATTCCACTTCAAGCCGAGCCTCTAGAGTACACAATTATAGGTCCGAAACCATCATGTCAATATTGATGACTTTGCTGCCTCTACTGAGATGGCATTAGATGAGGATGGTCTTTTATCTTCTATGCTTGAGGGAGAATCTTCAGGTTTGGATCTAGTGGTTGACCTGTCAACCTTTAGCAAATCGGTTGACCAGTCAACTCTTGACAATTTTGTTCCAGTTGACCTGTCAACTTGTCATAATTATTCTCAGAATCCCAGCTCATCTGTCTTTGTTGAAAACTCTCTATAGAAGCATGATAGGAAGCCTTCTCTACTTGACTGCAAGAAGACCTGACATTTCCTATAGTGTAAGGTTTTGTGCTAGGTTCCAAAGTGATCCCAAAGAGTCTCATTGTTTGCTGTCAAAAGAATCATAAAATATGTGAGTAGAACTTTTGAGTTTGGGTTGTGGTATACCTATGACACTTGTGTCAATCTTATTGGGTATAGTGATGCCGATTGGGCAGGTTGTAGTGATGATAGGAAAAGCACTTCCGGGGGGTCTTTTATGTAGGCAACAACCTAGTTGCTTTGCATAGCAAAAAACAGAACTCTGTCTCCTTATCCACTACTGAAGCAGAGTATGTTGCAGCTGGGAGTTGTTGCACTCAACTCCTTTGGATGAGATAAATGTTGGAAGACTATGGTCTTGCTCAATCATGCTTTCTAATCTATTGTGACAACATGAGTGCCATAGATATTTCTAAAAATCCTGTTCAATGCTCTAGGACTAAGCATATAGATATTAAGCACCATTTTATTAGAGATCTTGTGGAAGACAAAATTCTATCTTTGGAATTTGTTCCCTCTGAGAAACAGCTAGCAGATATACTTACCAAGGCCTTGGACTTTCAGAAACATGTCACACTTAGGTAGTCCATTGGCCTTTGCTCAATTGATTGATTAGCTTGTCTGTTCCTTATCTTCAGCACATTGCAGAACTGTTGACTAGTCATCTACTAGTCAAATATAAATTTTGTTTACTTGGTGTGCAAATGTCAAAACATCTGTTTCTTCTGATTTCTGATGATGTGAAGTTTGAATCATTTTATGCTTTGCCTGATTTGTGCATAATTCCCCCCTTCTAGTTTGGAGCCATTAGATGACATTTTTTATAATCTCCTATCTTATCTCACTCTCTTAGGCAATTTGTAAAAAAAAAAAAAAATAAAAAAGAAGAAGTGTGACCAATGTAGTCACGACTCTAGGAAGGTATAAGGTGATATGATTGAAGAATCTAGAGCAAGAGCCGCAAAATTGGGCCACTCAAGCACTTAAGTCTGGGATGTGCAAATAACAAACATAATAAATGGCCAGATTGAGTGATGAAAATCAAATAGGTTGAATCTATGCTTTGAGTTTGTCTTGAAGGTTCATTATATACTTGTCTCTCCAAGAGTGATATTTCTTCATCTCTTGTGTTTTTCTTTTGGCTCTGAACCTCCTCTGTCCATCTTGCCTTATCTCTGAGCATGAAATCTAATTCATATTCTATCTATCAGAGTTAGTTGCAATTGTTTTGTTTGCACATGGGGTTATCCTCTCTCTTTCTTACTTACTGTGCTTGAAGACTTGGACTAGGCTATAATAGCTAATACATCGTTGATCACTTGATATATTTGCTAGTTCTATCTAAAATTGTTGTTTGTTATGTTATTGCTTGTGTTGACTAGTCAACATATGCTCATGCTGATTGTGGTTGACTAGTCATCCAGTTCTGCTTGTTATGATATTGCCTTGGTTGACTAGTCAACTTATGCTCCCCACTGATTATGATTGACTAGTCAACTTATGTGCCTTTTGGTGAAATTAATTTTCACTCTCTAAGAAAGACCATTGGTTATGAAACAAAGCACAAAGGCGCTCCTTGTCTCATTTACACCTTATGTTCGAACATTGGTATTGTGTTTATGTATGATCGTGTTTGGATGATGCCACTTTGTTCTATGACCAGTCATCTTAATAAGTTGTGTTCCAACGTTCAATGATTTAGCCTAACATAATTCTTGAAATCCTTACGAGTTTGCTGTGCTATATGAGTTTTGGGATTGTTGGCTAATTTATTTGTTGGGGGGAGTTTTCTTTGAGATGCATGTGTTTTGGCAACATTCTTGCTGGTTGTTTTTATCATTTTCATACATCAATGTTGCCTTCCTAAGCCTTATCTCGATTGATTTGCTCTCTTTTGTTCTTGGCTATGTCTATGAGGTTGTTGGTCTTTTGATGCCACCTCAAATTTAGACATGCGTGACTAGTCCGTTTCACTAGTCCACTCTTTTCTTCTTGTGCTTTTTGGAAAGCTGTGTTGGGTTTTTTGGACAACCTAGAAACTTATTTCTTGTGCTCTTTCTCACATGTCCTCAATTTTGAGCAAAAATTTAGGGTTCATCTTGCTTGGTGTTTTCTTCAAATTTGACAATGATTGATGCCTTAAATTTTGAAATCTTGGTGCTTTGTCTTGATTTTGCACTACGTTGTGTAAAGAAAAATTCATTGGTTGTCCCTTGTTTTGATAAATATGTTGCTTAAACTTTGTCTTTTTTAGGGGAGTTTCTTTATGTGTAATGTGTACACGTTGAAATTCAATTCAGCCACTTGATTTTAATTGCTTTAGGTATGATTCCTTGCAACTTGTGCTCCATTTCTTATTCTTTTTAGCTTGATGCACTTTTGTGTTTGTTGGCTATTTATGGAAAGTTTGCTGAATCAGTACGTCAAAGGTTATGTCCTTTATGTTATATGATACTCAAAGGGAGTATGTTTTCTAAAGGGGTGTTTTTCTTTAGGAAGAGTAATTCTGGACAGGTTGTGCATGTTGATAGGGGGAGTTGTTTTTGTAATCACATTGTGGGTAGTCTGTGCATTTTGATAGGGGGAATTGTTTTGTAATCACATTGTGGGTAGTCAGTGCATTTTGATAGGGGGAGTTGTTCTGTCCTGTTTTGAACAACTGGTATTTGACTAGTCATCAATCTATGTTCTGTACTGTTTTGAACAACTGTTATTTGACTGGTCATCAATCTATGTTATGTGCTGTTAACCTTGTTCATATCTGCCTATCCTTTTGTGGTTAATTCCTTTGTATGTTGTTTCTATCTCTCTGCCTTTTTGCACTTTCCTTATCAACAAGGGGGAGAACACTCTCAACCCCACATCGCATATTGTTTTAAAAATTCTGTGATAATATGCTTGTTTTTGTGCCTGGGAGATTGGTTGTTCTTGCAGGTACCTTCACTCCATCATCTCCTTAGTTCGGTTTTGGGTTGAGTGTTTTTTAGAGAGTGTGTTGTCAAGGAAAGCCAAAAAGGGGGAGATTGTTAATGTATGGTTTTTGCTATTTTCTTTTGGCTTCCCTTGACAACTTTGTAATAGGATGTGTATTGTTATTTATCAAGCTCAAGTTTAGATTAAGGAAAACCTTTCTTGGTGCTCTTCTCTAACTTATGCTCTATGGAGGTTCAAGCAAGTTGACAAAGGTATAGTGCATTGCATATCATTTCATAAAACAGTCTTCATAAAAATGATGACTAGTCATCCGTTTCTCAGATGACTAGTCATCCTTGCTCTGTAGGATTTCCAGTTAGATAACAAACTATTTTGTCCTATTCATCTTTCTCTCTCTCTGCTGCCATCTATGTTTTCTGACCTAACGAATTTTTTGGCTGTAAAGGCTTCGTTTTTGGTCATTTGGTGGCTGTCTCTTTTGGGTGGAAGTTTTGGAAAGTTTGGCTTGCCATCTTTCGCTTCTTCTTCCTCGAGAGAACCATCTTATTTCATCTATGAGTTTTTCCAATTGATATCTTTTTGAAAAACTGCTTTTGAAACCCGAATCTGCATCTAGCTACTTAAATCATCTCTCATTTATATCTAGGTCAAATTCAAGACAGATTTCTTCAAGAGTATGGTTTCTTGAAGAAATTGGTCTTTCTCATTTGAATCCAAATTTTGGTTTCGGTTTGTGTTGGAGCTTGCAAGCTAGTGCCATGGGATGAACGAGCTGGAGAAGGAGCTGCCATTGCCATGAAGAACTGAGCTTCAAGCTTTGCTAAGTTGGAGAAGAAGATTGCACAAAGGAGGTATAGCTCATCTTCCTAAATAGACCTAGGAATTTCTTGAGCTTGCTAATGTTCTTTGTAAGAATCTTTTTCTACTTAGTAGATTGCCTGGTCGGTTGATGACCCCCAGTTTTTCCCAATGGTGGGTTTCTGGGTGAACAAATTCTGGTTTGCATATCTGTAAATTTTCTGGGTTTGTGTTCTTGATAGTTGACTAGTCATCTGGGTTCTCGCGGTTGACTAGTCATCTTTATCTGCTGTTTGATGTTTACATGATAATGATGATTTCACACACTTTCACCATAGTTGTTGCTAGCACAGGGGATGCCTAGATTGACGGGTCCTTCTGAGTGCCTAGGTTGTCACTAGTAATCTTCTAGGGTTGCAGGTACATTGTGGCATGCTCTGTGTGTTCTATTGATTGTGATTGTTCATGACTAGCAGTTGACTAGTCATATGTGTATTTGGTCAAGGTTTAAAGTGTGTGAAGATTGCTGTGTTGTTGTGTCTTGTTTGTGTGATTAAATTTACCCCTCGTCACCTAAGTACCAATTTCACATACACTCAGCAAGATGAAGTTTGAAATTTTTGCTACCATATTGATTATAACAAAATCTCTCCAGATGGATTCACGAACACCAGGATGCCTAACCTTTACGGCAACTACTATGGGCTTCAGCTGTTGACTAGCTCCATGCACTTGAACAATACTTCCAGATGCTACTGGGTTTCTCTTCAAAATTTCAAAAATCTTGGCGAGCTTGCGGCCAAACGTTTCGTTCGATAGTTTTCTCCGTGTAGAGCTATGTTCAGGAGCTTTGGTGTGAGGCTCTGAGAGCTTGGTGATAAAGAAAGAGCGCCAACTATAAACAATTACGCGAATTTTAGTGTATCACCACAAATTAAAGGCGGTTGAATCATCAGGAAAAAAATAATAATAAACAATAATAATAATTATTATATATAAAAAAAGGGCCTAGGCGGGTCTGGGCCTTTTTTGTTTTGTTTTTAAAATTTTTTTAAAATTTTTAAGATTTAAGATTTTTATTTTCGAGGTTAAATTTTAATGCTTTTTTAACCCCCGTAGTAGATATTTAAAAAAATCTTTAAATGATATTCCTAGTTGAAACCATTTATTTTCTATTTGGTGGCAATTTCCGACATGACCCGACATAATTATGTTCTTAGGATTTAAATGCGTAATTTTACCTGAACAAGACAGTTCTGGGCTTTGTGCCCCAATGCCACTTGCCAATAAGCCTAAAAACCCTGGTAGAAATGGAGGTGAAGTTGAAAATGAGGAGTCCATTTCAGATGCTGACCTTGATAACATTGTTGGTGTTGGAGACAGCTCTCAGCTAGAGGTATTGTGACTTATGCAAGCATCTTTTTACATGCATGGAGATTGCTCCTGAATAGAGCTGAAAAATCACCAAGGAAGTATTGTATTTCAGGAAATGGATCCTCCGAGCACACTTCAGTGTGAACTTCGTCCATACCAGAAGCAGGCTCTCCATTGGATGATCCAACTGGAAAAGGGACAATGCATCGATGAGGGAGCAATGACTCTTCACCCTTGTTGGGAGGCATACCATCTTGCAGACAAGTATGCTGGGCTGTTAACCTTGGATTATTCTACCTTATGATTCAATATTTATTGGGGTGTTTTGCATATAGGAGAGACCGTGTTATCTATTTGAATGCGTTTTCTGGGGATGCAACAACAGAACTTCCAAGCACACTTCAAATGGCCAGAGGAGGAGTATGTCTCAAGTTGGCTCAAACCTTAATTAAATATTTTTTCAAACTTTATTTTTATGTGTTGATTGTATTGCCTTTGTCGTGCATTTGAAGATTCTGGCTGATTCTATGGGCTTGGGGAAGACCATTATGACAATAGCATTCCTTCTTGCTCATTCAGGACATGGATTATCAGGTAGTCACCCTACAAGCCAGTCCTCCAGTGAAGATATTGAAATTAGTGACATTTCAGACCATTCCCCATCAAACCTACCAAAGAAGGTCACAAGCTTTTCAGGATTTGATAAGTTTATGAAGCGAAAAAACACCCTTGCAGATGGTGGCAGTTTGATTATATGTTCCTATGACTCTTCTAGGCCAGTGGAAGGTAGTTTTTGTCACTTTGAAGAACACCAATTGTAGTTCTGCATACTTACACCTGCTCTGAAAGTTGGTACTTGCGCCAGTATCAGAGTGTTACGTGCACAGTGATAAGGATTCTATATTTGGGAGTTAATATAAATTTTTTTTTTTTTTTTTTTTTTTTTTTTTTTTTTTTTTTTTTTTTTTTTTTTTTTTTTTTTTTTTTTTTTTTTTTTTTTTTTTTTTTTTTTTTTTTTTTTTTTTTTTTTTTTTTTTTTTTTTTTTTTTTTTTTTTTTTTTTTTTTTTTTTTTTTTTTTTTTTTTTTTTTTTTAAAGGGGAAAGGGGGGGTTTTTTTTTTTTTTTTTTTTTTTTTTTTTTTTTAAAAAAAATTTTTTTTTTTTTTTTTTTTTTTTTTTTTTTTTTTGGGGGGAAAAAAAAAAAAAAAAAAAAAAAAAAAAACCCCCCCCCCCCCCCCTTTTTTTTTTTTTTTTTTTTTTTTTTTTTTTTTTTTTTTTTTTTTTTTATTTTTTTTGCGCTAACTTTTAGCTCAAAGTGATGTTGTAATCACTTCATACGGAGTGTTAATTAGCCTCAGAATTTTCTGCAGAGGTAATCTAAACATCTCCTAATTGCATATTGTGCAAATTTTATTAGGCGGCCTAGGCTGGACTGGGCCTTTTTTAATTTTTTAATTTTTTAATTTTTATAGTTTATAGATTTGTATTTTCCAGGTTAAATTTTAATGCTTTTTTAACCCCCAGTAGTAGATAAAAAAAATATTTCTTTAAATGATATTCCTAGTTGAAAACATTTATTTTCTATTTGTTGACAACTTCCGACATGACTCCATACACGACTCGATTTCATACCCGCTCGAGATGACCCCCACTTTGGCTTAACAGGTTTTTTCTCTGCAGGCTTCTTCTCTTGAAAGACAGGAGGTGATGCCTCTGGTATCGTTTCTGGTGCAGACTCAACATGCTCTGCATGCTGAGTGAGGAGTTCCAAACCTTTCAAAGACATGATCTCTTCCTGAAGGAAGGGACCTGACTTGGCATCTGATCTGCTGGACATGACGTTACAATAATCAAACATTTCACATTAGCCATTGCTATTTACAATCAAAAGATACATATGATTACATCGGTGAAATAATTTTTAGGTAAAAGTTGTGATTCCTTTGCCGTCACCCCAGACGGGCAACCCCATAATCATAGAGAAGAGTGTCTCTATTGTGAATATTTCATTTTAAGTTATGAGACCAAAAAAGGCGGGTTGGTTCACAGGAAGGATGGAGAGAAGTTAGCACATCCAATCCAATCCAATCCAAATGTAGTTTTGATATTGTTAGGATCGCCGTACTGCTATTTAATGGCAGTAAGGTTATTTCAAATCATAGGAGTCCTCTGGATTACTCCCTTACAGTTTCTTTGTATAGATTGTTTTATGTATTTATTTAGTAACGTTTGCATCACATTGTTACATTGTACCCGGGATCAAGGTTCCGCTGCCATCGCTGCAAAACATAATCAGTGAGATTTGTATAAAATCAGTTATTGATGACCACACCAACGATAATATAGAATTGGAGCAAATTGCCTCTCAGATTTGTAAATGTTGAAAATAATGCACATTTGTGCTTAAGATTTCAAGAAGGATCTAGAGAATTCAAGAGCTCACAATAAAGAAGTTGCATGGCAGCAAAGCAAAATGAATATGGTGGAATATTCTAGATAAAACCATATAGTTGTGGCTGGAGTAAGAGACCAAGTCCACTTGGTGATGTCGGCAATGAAGATTGAAGATTATTCTAGACAAAGCCAAACATATGTGGCAAGGAGAGATTGTCCAAGTCGGTGAGACTTGGGTAGTGGCGGCAATCAAAGCCTATAAATAGGCATGCTTATACTCATTCAAAGTGGAGTCTAACAAAGAACTCCCAAACCATTAGGGAGCCAAGGGCTACCTAATGCTAACTATGTTGAGAGCCAATAAGCTCATTAATCAAAGTGTAAGGGCCAAATAGCCCAAACTAATCTAAACCAAGTGTTGTGGCCAATAAGCCAATATGCTAAGTGTAGAAGGCCAATTAGCCACCACAATGCTATGTACTATTCTCCTCCAATCTAATAAAATCACTTTGTTTTCCCTTATAAATCTAACAGTAAAAGATATCAATTCGGCTACTCATGGTAAACCTATTATGATACAAAAAACTATCACGTTTGTTTTTCTGAGACAATAAAATTAAATTTATAAAGAGACGAGAAAGGAGTAAAGGATATATGGCCAACAGACAAAAGCAGATAAACAAAACGAATATATTGTGAAAATTTTCTATTTATAGCGTATAGCCGATCGTCTATACTGTTACAATATTCTATTTAACGGGTATAGCCGAGCGGCTGTACAGCTTTTCTATATATATCTTCAAATATTGTATTTATAGAGTACAGCCGAGCGGCTACACTGTTATGATAGTCTATTTAACGTATATAGCCGAGCGGCTGTACTATTTGAATATAATATTTAATGAGAATAGCCGAGCGGCGGTACCATTTAAATATAATAATTAAATAATACAGCCGTGGCTATACTCTTCAAATATTAGAATGGCCGTTTCCCCAAGTGCTTAAAGCATGGAAGATAGCTTTTTCTGTATTTCTCGGACCTTCCCACGTTTGGATGCCTCCTCTTTTGCAGTCCTTCCTTTATCTAGCACATCAAAATGATTGTAATGCGACTAATAAATTCATAAAAGTGAAAAACAAAAAGAAATTTTCACCAGGTTTCTTTGCAGACCTCCCAGTTCCCCTTTCACCTGTACAACCATTTGCTGGCCATACTTTTGCAGAATGATTAGAACCACCATAGTCCTAGGAACAAAAACAAATGCAACAGCCAAAAAAAATTGAAGAATAAGTTTCTAAAACAATTAGTCCAAAATGAATAAGTTAAACACAATGTGAATTGATCCGTGCAAAGAACTTCAAAAGAGGAATCTCTAGTATCACTACTTTTTCTTAAATGAGCCATGCAAAGAACTTCAACATCCATTGCACTTTGAGCACTCTGGCCAAGTACTTCTCCAGCCTGTTGTAAGGCGTCACTGCCTGTCTTTTCCTCATCATGAAGTTGTTCTTCTTCATGCATCAAACTGTCCCGATGAATGAAGTAAGCAATTAAAATATAAGAAACCAATAAGTTCTGAAGTTAATGTGAACCAACAGTTTAGTTCAGCGGCAGCAGATCCAGCACGAGCATATGTAAAATCAAAGATCCGTAGCAAAGAAATTAGATCGGTGATTACAAATTACATATACAGAAATGAAGTATCAGGTTAAGAATGTACATAATAGTGGAGTCAGTCAGCCACTCGAGGGCAACTAAGCACTAACAATTATGTACCTTTTATTCTGACCTTGTTTTTATACATATGTATTATTGTAGAATACATGTAAATGAGAATGTATTTTCCATGTCGCATCTTATTTTCTATTTCTCATTTCACATGATTGTGTTTGTGCTCATAGGCAGATACATTATTTCCAAAATTGACAAAGATAGGCTTCATATTACATACCTCTCTGGAGTGCTTCAAATCTGCTTCATGATCTACTGAGCAGTTTTCAGGGGAAGTTTCTTCATAAGAACTGGTATTAATACAAACAGAATTATTCAATTTGGTTGTCAATGAGCAGCTATTTTCCACGGGCAGTGATTTCCTTTGTATATTAGACTCATCCATATCCTTTTTTCTTTTATTCCTTCGGCAGAAAGTAATCAATTGGGTGGTCAACTTGTTTCACGCAAGCTGAATCACCACTGAATTTATCTAACTTATTTCTAGAGAATGAATCAGTGTCTTCTAAGTTTGATGTATTCAATCTTGGCGAGCTACCATCACATCCAGAGCTGCTTTTTCTTTCAAATGCTGCTGCTGCTGCTGATGATTTTTGTCTTACAAAATCAGCAATAATTACAGCGGAATTCATCACCAATTGAGAAACTAACCTCCCTCCAACATTATTATCATCAACCAATGCTCCAGCATTAGCATTTGAAGATGAGCCTACTTTCTTGCCACTAGACTTATTCCCATATGCATCCCTTTGGGAAGGAACCTCATCAAGACTTGTCGGAACGGTTTTAATTGGTATTTGTCTTGTGCCGGACACTTCAATGTGTTTCTTTTCCTTATGGGGTTTATCTAGGCATTGGAGATGATACAACTGAAGGCATTTTCCACAGTGCTTCAGGTTACCCCCAACACAGCACACAAAACAACATGGCATACCTGCAAGAAAAAGAGGCAGGTAAGACAGAATATAGCAATGACCTTAAAAATAAATTATAGGTCTAAGTCAACTAAGAGAAGATCTTCATAGAAACCTAAATTAAAGAACCAAATCTAAATGCTCATCTCAACTAGATACGCTTTCAAGGGTCGGTTGAATAGGGCACATTCTGGTGGTATCTGGTAATCCCTTAAAACCTTTTTCTTTTCAGTATTTTTTTTCAAGAACAAAATTATTAGAGGAAAAATAGGGAAGGATGGATTATTAAATTATCTACATAAAGTTGATTGACATACAACATCTGTCCCTATGAAACAAACTACAAAAAGTGAACAGGTTCCAACTTTCTAAAATCTCACCGCAGAATTTCTGTTGTAATTTTCTGAGGAACGCTTATCAATCAAATGAACTTGCAAGTCTGGTGGTTTGCTTAAAGAAGTGTCATTGGGAGCAACAAAAAGTGAATTACAGCACTCATGTCCCTGTACAGGATCTGTTCTTGATTGCCGCTTTCACTTATGCGTTAGCAACACTTTGCTTCCTGACATTTAAGCTTTCAAAAAGAAATCTTGCTGCAATTCCAAACACTTGGACCGCATTTTTCACATGAAATTTGTACTTATTCCACTATATGTTCAGTCTCATTTCAACACAGAAAAACCTGCAACTGTTAAGGAAGAATATCCAATTAACTAAACAGCAAGTCATGACTCATATAGTTAATACAGTTATGAGTAGCAACACAATGATAGCTGAAGGGA